GAAACAAGATGAAAAGGCGAAAAGAGATACCAAAAACAATGTTTCAATGGATGACTATCAATACTATCACGATTTAATCCTTTCATCTAAATGCAAAATGTGTGGTAAAGCGTTTACATATGTAAATAAACCAACATTGGATAGAATCGATAATGAAAAACCACATACCAAAGAAAATTGTCAGTTAATGTGTTGTTATTGCAATGTCGTGAAATCAAATAATGATGAAGATGTTCAACGTTTAAGAATCAATTTAAGAAATTATGCATTAAAAAATAATTTACCAATGACTTTAGATTCAGTTGAAGCTTATCACATTCTCCGTAATGGAATTACTGGTGGTCTATCAAATGTTCAACATAGAGTAAATCTTAAAGGAATCACGCGCATTAATAAACTTGCATATAATCCAGAAACTAAAACTGTATCAAATGAGGACACTTCCAACATCATGACTCATTTCGTTGGTGTTGATTTTAATTCATTATATCCTTCATCATTTTCATCTAATCCTCATGATTTCATTCAATATACTGACCATAAAATGTATATGCCGGGAAGATTGAATGGTGTTATCATTTGTGATACAGCAACAAAGAAAGCAAAAGCATTGGGAATTATTAGAAAGAAAAATAGTTTATTCGTGGCTGAAGTAAAGGGTCACATTGATGAAAAATACATTAATGATTACATAAACTTTTTACCGATAATAAGAAACTTAGATATTATCACAGATGAAAAAACAATTGGCAGTTTTATGTATAATTACATGAAATCAAACAATCTACCAGTTGACCAGAAACAGAGGAAATTAACTCAGTTAGCATCAACACACAACCAATATCAACCATTTTCTTCTTATTATCTTTGGTATCTAATCGACAGATTTCATTTTATCATTGATGACATTCAATCAATTTTAACATTTACTAAAAACACTTGTTTTAATGAATTTGCGAAAGAATTTATGAACGAAAGACAAAAGGCTGAATTAGAAGGAAATAAAGGAAAAAAGTTTATTTTTGCAAGATTTCACTTAATGGATCATATGGTTACGATGCAATGAATACACAAAATTACGCAAAGACTAAAATAATGAATGCACAGAAGTCACGCGTTGCATGTATGTCAAATAAGTTTAAAAACATAAGAGAAATAGGTGAAGATACATATCAAGTGATGCTTAAAGATAGATTTTATAGATGTGATACATGTTTACAAGAGGCATTCTTCACTTTAGATAATGCTAAATACTGGTATTTGGTTTTCATTTATGATTTTATGTATAAATGCATGAATGTTAATCGTTTTCATTTCATTGAAGGTGATACTGATTCATCTTATTGGGCAATCGCTGGCGACCCAAGTCTTCCTAACACTCAAGCATTTCAAGCAATTGTTACCGATAAACAATTTTATGATAAAAACATTTTCAAATTCGCACCATTTGATTTCTTCTGTTTTGATGAGAAATTTAAACCTAAATTAAAGAATAAAGCTGAAGAAAAAGCACATGAGAAAAAATTATTGGGTTTAGCAATTGAGAAACAAGGCGATAACATGGTTGCTTTATGTCCCAAGTGTTATACATCATTCAACGGTTCAATTGATGGAAGTGATTTTAAAAAGATTGCACAAAAAATGAAAGGTGTTAGTTTACGACAAAATAAACAATTAACACCTAAAAATATTTGGATATAATAAATGATAAAGTGATATTTGATGGTCAGAATATTAATTTACAACTTAAAAACGGGTCAATGACTCGCTTAACAATCGGTAAGACTGCATTAACAGGAGCACACACTAAGGCTGTATGTTGTGAAAATGGATGTTGTATGCCATTTATTTAATACAATTTAAAATTTTATTCTTAATGAAATGCCACAGAAGAGACAAAAGGAACCGTTAATGATGGTTTTGATACTATGATTCAAAGATGATAAACAAATGAGAAACGTTTTAACATTACCAGAAGCTCAAGCATATGCCAAACGTCAAGGTCCAAATTGGGAAGCACACGAAGCAGACATTACGGGTCCAAAACACTTATTTTATTTTTATATAAATGGATAACACAGATTTAAAAATTTTAATTGATGATTTAGTACTTAATCAAAATTTTCTTGTTATTATGGTTAAAAGCATATCTCAAAAATTGATAACAATATAACGGGTGATGATATGGAAATTATTATCCATATTATAAAAATGAATTTTGAAATATCATGATAGAATAATTTCTAAAATTAAAGACAAAATTAAAAATAATGAATATACAAAGGGAAAAACTAAATTACAACTTAAACAATTGAAAGATTTCAAAAATAAAGTATTAACAGAAGAAGATATTGATGAATTATATAAATTATATAATCCTGAGCCGCAAAAGCCAAAGGAACAAAAACAAATGGTGCAAAACACCCAGGTTCTTCAGACCATAAATGATGCACAAGCTTTAATTTATGAAAGGTTGTTCTTGAAGCAGGTTCTTCAGACCATAAATGATTTCGGGTCAATGGTTGTCAATGGTTTAGTCGACATTCATTTGCTCCATATCCATATTCATACGAAATCGATCATCTGGAATATTCAAAAGGAAACGTTACTTATTTATTTGCCATTAACATTAACACTAGATATTTATATTGCATTCCAGTGAAAGGGAAAACAGAACAGGAAACAAGAAGAGCTATTCAATACTTACTAGATCATGAAAGAGTAGATAATATCAGGGGTGATGGTGATAAAGGATTTCAGGCAGCTATGACTCATTATTTCCCACAAATTAATTTTTTCTTTTCATCCTCTCCATATACGTTTCATAATAAAATAGTTGATGCGGTAATGAGAACTCTTAGAGATGCGTTAGGGGTTAACGGTCAGATATACTGGGATGGAAATCATGACTCCATCATACAGCAGTTAGTATATTATTACAATAATACATGGCATAGAACTATAAAACATGAAACCAGTGGAAATGAAAAATGATATTTCAAAAGAATGGGAATATATTAGAAAGCAAATGGAAAGGTTGAATGATGTTAAACGTGAACAAATTAATTCGGGGCTCATGAATTTTAAACAAGGAAATAAAGTTTTGATTCATCTCGATTATGGAAAAACTAATAAATCAATGACAAAAAGAAGACGAAGATTTGACACAATAGCTGAATTTGTTAGATATATTAACGGCAATGCATTAGTTGAAGTTGACAATAAATTAATAGAAATTCCGATTTATTTTATTACTCCATTTATTTAAATAATATTTAATTTTTTTTATTTCGTAAGAAATGAGTGACAACAAAGCAGTCAAGAGTCCAGACAATGAATATAAAAAGAAACTAAACAGAATTAAATCAAAAATATGCTATTACAAAAAGAAGCCGCAATGTGGTGGGGTTGATGCCCATAAAACTAATGGAACTGAAAACGATAAAGAGAGGAAAGAAATAATCGAAAAATTAGAAACTTACCGTTCAATCCTTAAACTGAGTGAAGCAAAAATAAAAGAATTTAATAGAATAAATAAATTGGTTGGAAGAGATGAATTTAATAAAGATGAATTTTTAAACTCTATCCAAATTTAATTTTTATTCCTCTTCGACAACATCTCTCTTTCCATCATTACTGCATAACCACATTTTCTCAATTTTAGTGGTTTGTTATTTTTAACATGTTCTTGCATCATTTTATCATTTCCTCCCTTGTTATGATTCGTGGTAAATTTTGAGCTTGTGGGGTATTCATTTATGATAAAAATAAAAATTTAAATTATGCCGTTCTAAAGTTTGTGACAACATGACATTTTGACAACATCATGGGTTATTCAATAATTAATTATTTTTGAAGAACTGAAGGGGTCACCAGGTCACCAGGTCATTTAACTTCTCTGAAAAAATGTGACAACATGACATTTTGACAACATCATGGGTTATTCAATAATTAATTATTTTTGAAGAACTGAAGGGGTCACCAGGTCACCAGGTCATTTAACTTCTCTGAAAAAAATGTGACAACATGACATTTTGACAACATCATGGGTTATTCAATAATTAATTATTTTTGAAGAACTGAAGGGGTCACCAGGTCACCAGGTCACCAGGTCATTTAACTTCTCTGAAAAAATGTGACAACATGACATTTTGACAACATCATGGGTTATTCAATAATTAATTATTTTTGAAGAACTGAAGGGGTCACCAGGTCACCAGGTCATTTAACTTCTCTGAAAAAATGTGACAACATGACATTTTGACAACATCATGGGTTATTCAATAATTAATTATTTTTGAAGAACTGAAGGGGTCACCAGGTCACCAGGTCACCAGGTCATTTAACTTCTCTGAAAAAATGTGACAACATGACATTTTGACAACATCATGGGTTATTCAATAATTAATTATTTTTGAAGAACTGAAGGGGTCACCAGGTCACCAGGTCACCAGGTCACCAGGTCATTTAACTTCTCTGAAAAAATGTGACAACATGACATTTTGACAACATCACAGGAGGAAGGCAAAAATAAATTCCAGTCATACTTTATAAAGCTTCATTCACAGGTATTTCATCGTCAGTAAATGATTCCTCATTATCGTTTGGTTCAATTTGTTTATATAATTCTTTCATTTCTTCTTTCAAAACATAATACCGTGTTTGTTTACCATCTATTTTTCTTTGTTTCCTTTCACATTTATCCTTAATGCTCATTTGAAAGTTTTTGTCTTTCATGTCTGATGGTTTGCAGAATAGAGCATTTTTACACGTCATACCTGCACATAATTCATCATAATGTGTATTTATCCATTCATCTAAAGGATTTGTTGATAATTCTATTAAATCTTGTTTGGCTTCAGTCATCGGTATGATTCGTACATTAAATGATGAAAGGTCGTAATTGATAAAATATGTTAGTAAATTATCATAAAATTCCTTAGTGCATGAATCCATTAAATTCTTGAAGTAATCAAATTGACCCTTGAATTTACCATTAACTCTTAAAACTACGTATCTTCTGTCTCCAACTTCAATTTTGACAGGGTAGACGTTGTTAGTTACGAAAATGAAGTTTGCAACATTCTGAGCAGTTCTTCTGGGTTGATTCTTTTCATTAATTCTAATCTCATTATCCGTAATAATTGATTTCAAAGCGTTGAAGTTTGCGAGTCTGTCTTCACCTACATTCTTGAGTTCATTAAGTACAAGAAACATTTTATTTTCAACTACTGAGTTGAAATTACCCGTTAGCTCACCTATTTCGGTAATGTTTTTACATGAATAACCTGCGAGAAGTTCAGAAATAATATCTGTAAATCTGTTTTTACCTGTTCCCTGAAGTCCTTTCAAAATAATTGCTGTTTCATTCTTGATTCCAGGATGTTGAATCATTGCTGCAATCCAGCCGAGAAGGTATTTATACACTTCATCGTTATTATCACAAATGGCTTCTTTAATGAAATTCATAAACATCTCAATTTTTGAGTAATCTACTTTTTCGAGAATGTTGTATTTATAACCCTAAAACGTTGAGAAAACATCTGGGGAATCAGATTTAAAGCAAACACCCTTAACGGTTAATGAGGATAATTGATTTAATAGTACGTCCCATGCTGTTATGGTTTTACCTTCTTCTTTAAATAATTTAATCATTTTGAGTGACTCTTTCATGTTTGATTGAAGAACGAATGATATTTGATTCATTTTGTCGTGGATATTATAATCTTTCTGAATGAAATATTTATTTCCACAATCTACAAAACGGATTACACGTGATAAATCCTCAATTACTTCAGAACTGTTTTTATACTGATGATTTTCAGCCTTGCGTCTAATATCTGTTATCAAAAACGAGTCATCAAGTTTGATATCAAATGTTATTTTTGGCTTACGTAATAAAGGTAAAACATATTCATCATAATATTCCTTTTGATAAAGTTTTAGAATCTTCACTAAAACAAATGGAGAAGTCATTAAATGTGCATATCTACTACGTGCTTTTTCAAAATTACTTTTTGCATTTTCAGTTAAATTGCAGAAATTATAAACGTTATCGTATGCTTCATTAATTAAATGATCTGGTAACGAATTAATAGCTTGAAACAGTGTGAATAATGTAACTTCTTTTTCTAAATTCATGTTTCCACCGTCATTATGTACTTCAAAATCACAGATGCCATCAACTATGCTTTGAGCTAGTTTATCGTCAATGTTTACATCTTTGTTTTCATTCATTATACTCTTTATTTCTTCATTCTTCTGTTCAACTCTTACCTTAATATTCAAATCATTTAATATATCATTCACTGTTCTAGTTAATGTTGAATCATAACTTCCACGAATGAATGAGTATGTATTGATTGGTTCTGATGCATTCTTGCGAACTCTTGAATCAGCCATAACTACTAATGAACGCTTTGAATCATCAATAGAAGTCATTATGTCAATATCATAATCATTGCAGGAATAACATTTAATCATTCTGTTCGAAACTGCATAGAAGAAATTAGTGTTGCAATAAATGTGAAGACCTCCTGAAGCGGTTTTAACGATAACATCTTTATCCGAAAGTTTTGATAAAATGTCTTTTCTAACTGTTTCTTTAAGTTCATCATTGTACGATTTATTGATATCAACATCTATAATCGTTAAATTTGAAATTTTATTTACTAATAAAGCTGTACCAGTTTTCCTTCCTCTTCCTCCATCATGTTTGAGGTAGTTATGTAAATCAATCTTGTTTTCACCAATTCTTTCGTTGAGGGTTTTAGTTTCTGCCACAACTAATTCCTCAGCTAATGAATCAATAACTTGTTCATCAGAAATGATAAAGTTGCTGTTGTTGTTTGTTGCTGTCATTTATATAGGAATAAAAAAATAAAAATAATTTTAAAACTAACTTTATTTTTGGGCTGCATCAAATTTTCGTAAATGTTGTCAAAATGTCATGTTGTCACATTTTTTCAGAGAAGTTAAATGACCTGGTGACCTGGTGACCCCTTCAGTTCTTCAAAAATAAGTCATAACTGCCTTCCTCCTGTGATGTTGTCAAAATGTTATGTTGTCACATTTTTCAGAGAAGTTAAATGACCTGGTGACCTGGTGACCCCTTCAGTTCTTCAAAAATAAGTCATAACTGCCTTCCTCCTGTGATGTTGTCAAAATGTCATGTTGTCACATTTTTTCAGAGAAGTTAAATGACCTGGTGACCTGGTGACCCCTTCAGTTCTTCAAAAATAAGTCATAACTGCCTTCCTCCTGTGATGTTGTCAAAATGTCATGTTGTCACATTTTTTCAGAGAAGTTAAATGACCTGGTGACCTGGTGACCTTCAGTTCTTCAAAAATAAGTCTAACTAATGCCTTCCTCCTGTGATGTTGTCAAAATGTCATGTTGTCACATTTTTTCAGAGAAGTTAAATGACCTGGTGACCTGGTGACCTGGTGACCCCTTCAGTTCTTCAAAAATAAGTCATAACTGCCTTCCTCCTGTGATGTTGTCAAAATGTTATGTTGTCACATTTTTCAGAGAAGTTAAATGACCTGGTGACCTGGTGACCCTTCAGTTCTTCAAAAATAAGTCATAACTGCCTTCCTCCTGTGATGTTGTCAAAATGTCATGTTGTCACATTTTTCAGAGAAGTTAAATGACCTGGTGACCTGGTGACCCCTTCAGTTCTTCAAAAATAAGTCATAACTGCCTTCCTCCTGTGATGTTGTCAAAATGTCATGTTGTCACATTTTTTCAGAGAAGTTAAATGACCTGGTGACCTGGTGACCCCTTCAGTTCTTCAAAAATAAGTCATAACTGCCTTCCTCCTGTGATGTTGTCAAAATGTCATGTTGTCACATTTTTTCAGAGAAGTTAAATGACCTGGTGACCTGGTGACCTGGTGACCCCTTCAGTTCTTCAAAAATAATTAATTATTGAATAACCTGAAAACATTAACATAAACATTAACCTGAAACCATTAACGTAAACATTAACGTAAACATTTATTTCTGCAGTTCATCCATTACTTCATTACCTAATTAATTACAGACATAAAATATATTTAGTTCATTCAATAAACACGGTACCATGCGAATACGATCACAAATGGTGGCATATAATCTTTACCCAAGCCTGTTGGATTTGTTGTGAAAGTATGGACATGATTTCCTCCTGGTTCAGTTGGTCGAAAAGTCTTTTTTGCTGAATGGTTATAATCTGGAGATAAAACATCATAGCCAGCTTCATATTCTGAGTTGTATAATGGGTGGTCTCTTAATGAGTGTGTATGGTCGCCAGAAAAGTTTGTAGTTCCTGTATGAGTGTGCGGGGGTAAGTTTGCTTCTTTAATTTTCTTCGAACCTCCTGTTTGCTTTGAATATCTAGCACAGTATAAGAATTTATCTACAATCTACTTCCACGTACCGAAACCCAGAACTGTTGCTGGATTTGTTGAGTTCATTGACGTATAAATAGAACCAATGGGGTAAATCATCTCAAGAATTGTATTTAATCCATTATGAATATTGAATTTATTATATAATATTGAATTTGGGTGAGTATTTAAAACTGGTCTTGTTATCAATATTAACGTATTATTTTTGAAAATTGCTTTTCTAACATCTTGAAATTTTGTGATTTCAGACCAGTTTCTTCCATCACTACTGATATTTACTAAATCACCACATCCTAAAGCAATGAAATACCCATCAATATAAAATAAATTTGTAAATCTATAATTTTGAGTAAGTTTTGGAGTGAATGAATAAACCAATTCCCAATTTGATAAATCCTGTGATAAATAAATATGTCTGTTATAACTTACGGGATATGAATAGACCATTTCACCTGAAACGAGAACATAAACATTTGATCCATAACATAAAGCTTCAATGTCTCTATCAGCTTGAAAAATTTGTTCAAATTGACCTTGTGGTATTGAAGATGATCTATAAATTTTATCATTTTGTAGGATAAAATACATGTTGTTAATGTAATACCACTTACTTGTATAATCAATTTCCAAATCTGATGACATCATACTAAACATATAATAATTTATCCCATCCTCACTAATGAAAATTTGATTGACTTCATAAATTAGTACCCATTTATTATTAACGCATCTAATAGGATTATTTGAATATTTAAATTTAGCATCTTGATTTAAATTACATTTGAACCATTGGATACAATCGAATGAATAACAAGGGCAAAAATCATCTTCAACCGTTATCATTCCCATAAATTTACCGTTATTATATTCAACATATAAAATTCTTGGATTAATGATTGGCTTTCGTGTATCAGGATTCAAAACAGATGGAGTAAATGATTCATAGTTTTTAAAATCATTTGTTTTAAAATAATAAAGCACTCCAGCTGTATAAAATAAATACATGGTCACTCCATCGAAACATATCCATTCAAAAGAATCTATATCAAAGGTTTTATCTGATGATTTCATAAAATTTAAAAATGGTGGAGTAAAATAGACCTCTGATTGTTTTATTTCTTCATTAACAAATGATATATTAGCTTTCTTATTTAACTCACTATCCACATATTCCTTATCTGCTTTCTTATTTAACTCATCGTTAACATATTCCTTATCCGCTTTAAGGTCTAAACATCCTGAAACCCATCCTGTATCGGCTTTAGTTTTTAAAATCTTTGATGTCCATTCATGATACCATTCAACCCTTTCTTTAATTTCATTATCTTTTTCATCAACATAAACCAAATTTGCCTTCTTCATTAACTCACTATCCACATATTCCTTATCGCTCTTCATTATGTCATTTAGGAAACCTTCTATGAATTCCTCATTTAAATTAAATCTTCCAATCTTCAAAACTTTAGGAAATGCATTTAATGCGTAATATCTCTGTTCTTCTGGTGGAATTGATGTTATATCATCCGTTATACCTTTAATTTTAGAATTCATAAATAAAATTTCTTTTATATTTGATATCACTGCACCACCCTTGCAAACGAATTCGAAATGTTCATTTTTCAATACTATCTCCAAATCTCCATATTTCAACCTTTGCGTTTGTTCTGCCGTCTTTGAATTATATGCATATATGGCGTATGTAATGGTCTGAGGGACCTGGGTGTTTTGCCTTAAGTTTTGTGGTTGCTGTTGTTTAATCATTTATTATGATTTAAAAATAAATATTTAATCTGTTATCTCATCAGCTATTTTTTCTATTTGAAATTGCCATAATATTTCATTCATGAATTCTAAATCACAATCAAATAGGTCAGTTATTCTAAATTTAATATTTGATAAATCTTTTGAATGAAGAATAAATGAATTCCCGGATAATTGAAACGGATATGATAAAGAAAATGTGTTTAAGTTGATGGATAAAATGTTTTGTATTGATGGGTAAGAGTTAGGGTCTAATGTTTGATGTGAAAATCTCATTGGGGTATTAACTTTATCACATTTGATTAAAATGAAATTGGAACCAGTGTCAGAATACAAAACATCCCCAACATCTTTTTCAAAATTTAATATCCCCAACAATGAACGAAGATGAGGAGTACAAAATTTAATTTTCAGCGGAAATTTAATAAGGTTATTTATTTCATCAAGTTCAAAAAGTTTATCAGGTTTTGATTTAAAATTTTCTTCATACCATACGATAAATGATTCATTTAAATAACTTAAAATCATGTTAATATCCCATTTCGCTATCACATTATTTATATACATATCATACGTTTTTTCATTTAATAAATGGATATATAATCTGAAGGGTCTAAAAGGAATGGGATAAATTTAAAACATCACAGAAACGTAGAGTAACATTTATAAATCCCTAACTGTTAAATTTAATTCACAGCTATTTTTTTTATTCCGAATAATATTGAATACATGACATTGTTTATTTTAGATTAAAATATGGTAAAGCGTTATTTCCAGTGATAAAATAAAATAGAAAAGATTACCTCAGAATTCATAAATTCAACGATAAGAAAATTATTCAATGTTTATAATTTTAGTGTTTTCAGAAAATATTGAGTCAATGTCATATTCAATCAACAGGATTTATATTTTCACTTATTCAAATTTAGTTCATCAAACCCATATAATGACATTTCATAAGATTATTCAGATGGTATTAAAAATAATTGATAGATAAAATAGAACAGGATTGACAATATCGAATTTTTGGAATTTTGGTTTAAATATCCCGATGGAAAAAGATTGAAGTTAAGATAAAGCTGATACTATAAACAAACAAACAATTACAATGACCGATCCGGATAGTGGGGAGCAAAAAGAAATAAAACAAACGATAAAACTGGTGGAAAGTCAATTATTTATTGATTATGAAGTTCAATAAGGATTTATATATTGATAATTGTTAATGCTTGAATATTAAATATGGTCTTAACAAAGAATTTTTCAGTGATATTTTATATTTCATAACTATTTTATTATAAAATACATTATAATTGTTAAATGAGTTCAGTTGTTGTTCCGTTCTTTGATATCTTAATTGTGCTAATATCTTTATAGGATTTATTTTGCAACTGTTCCGCAGCATAAACCTCATCATCTATGAAAAATGAATTTTAACGTCCTGAATTTGAACCTACAAAGAATGGCGATAATGTGAATATAATGATTCATAAGGTAAAAATTAACGCAGATTGGTCAATTAAATTTATTATTGAATCATAATTATTATTATAATATCAGGTAAATTTTCAATTAAATTCAGATTAATGTCATTTTTATATGGCGCATTGCGACTGGAATCGTAGATCCTGGTTTCTCGATGTTTGATGAAAGAGGCGGGGGTATGTTGGATAAGTGGGAATTTTCAACAGGTTTTTACCGGGTTTCAGATAAATGATTGGGTCTCCATCTTCTTTATTTTGGCTCCTCTCTTTCTTTGGTAAGTCCACGAGTAATAATTTGGTTGAAGTGCTGACCTTGTTTAATTCGGGGCTAACAATTAATTTAACATTTTGAATAATTCGTGATTTATCCAATCAATTTACGTTATATACCAACAGTATCTCTGCTTTTGCGTTTGTTGTTCTTGACTTGGTTAAACGTCTCTCATTTATAATTGAATAAAAAAAGAAAAAATATATTTAAAAGTTTTTATTAAGGTTTGTTTACGGTAATATCCAAGGTTCATCAATTGTTTTGCTTATAACTTTCTTTGTAACTGCAACCAATTATGTTATTTGATATTGTTTGAGTTTCTTCAGTCTTATTTTATTATTTAAATATCTTTAATCTTTCTTACATGCATCTTAAACCAATCTGATTTTTTCTAAATTTAGCGTCTATCACGTTCTTTAATTAAATCAAAGTTATAACCTTGTTGAGAATAAAGTGGTTTCTTTATCAAATTCCTTGAACGCTTCTGAAAGTTGAAATGAAGAAATGCCTGAACTTTGAATTGGTTTAAATTCTGCTTTCTTGTTCTTCTGGTTCATTGTAACACTGGATCGAATAAAAGCAAACTTTAAAGAAATTTCTTAGCTGGAATTTCAGGTCTATATTTGCATATTGACAATCAAACTGATAACATATCGTGGTATCATCCGGTCCTCTTACAGCATTTAATTCTTCATGGAAATAAGAATATGGATTAAGATGGTATGAATCACATTGGACCATTTTCAACATTCTCCATGTATTGTTTAACAGCTTTTTTTCCATTTCGTCATCAAATTTCCATAGGATAACGTTCATTATATGCTTTACGTTAGGACTCATCAGTTATAGTTAATTTTAACAATTATGACTTTTAATATTACCTTGACCATCAATAAGAGAAAACTTCATTATACATCCAGGTTTCCATTTGATCCACGTAATGTCTGCTTCGTGTGCTTCCCATTTGAACCATGAGTTTGGCATATTGTTGAGCTTCTGGTAATGTTAAAAACTTTCTTCATTTGTTTAAACATCCTTTTGAAGACAGCAACAAATGACTATTTTTTCATTCCATCAGGAACTTTCATAGTTCCTATTAATATGCCCCTTTTTTGTTGTCCCTTGTTTTAATGAACCTTGTAGAAGAATTTGCCTATTCTGTCATGTTTAATTATAAATAAAATAAAAATTAAATTTATAAAAGTTAATCAAATTTATGGAACTTTATTTAAAATCAACTATTATTTTTCCATGTTCACGTCTAATTGCTGATATTGTGGTGTAAAGTTCTGTAATGTTCATGGTAAATTTCACTTGATAAAGTATACGGTTCACTGTTGACGACTAAAACCACTGAAAATGAAAAGGGTTTGAATTAGATAATTTGAATGTTTTGTGCTTAATGCTTTTGAAGTATTGGACAGCCATGAAGAATGAACACTGAATGTGTCGACATGAGTAATAATTGATTAAAATATGATTCTCATTAGTTATTAGTTTTGATTTCACGGCATCATCTAGAAAAATTAGTGAATGCAAAAAATTCTCTATCAAAATTTGAAATAGAAAGTGTTTCAAAATATTTCATCCCGTTGTTTTTATCAATAATTTTATCCCTCTAATCCTTGCTTCTTGATTGTTATTATATAATTTCTTTATACATTAAAAAGTTTTTTTAAATAACTTCTGCTTCTTCTTGTGATAAATAAATAATTGGAAATTTTGATTAAATGCTTTAAAGATTCAAATGTATCATTTGAAGGTGAACCTGAACGTTGATATAAAATTAACACATGTGAATATGGGGAAGTGTTAGCAATAATGATAATTTGTTTAATATCGTTAATGTTTTACTTTATTTTGTTTACCAATTGCTGCAGTGATTGAATTTAAGTAACATTCAGAATATGGAATTTTTCATTAATTTTTCCTTAGATAGAGCAATTTCTATTATCACTCAATGCTTCATTAATATATCATCTACGTATGTATTATATACTCCTGCTATTCTTCATAAGGGGTGGATGAATTTAAATCATTTAATCAAAAATAAATTTATAATTTTAAAACATTTCTATTCATCAATATTCATCATATGAACTTCTATACTGTGGTGGTGTACCTGTTGG